CTCTCTCTCTCTCTCTCTCATATTTTCAACAAAGTAATATCAAAAATAAACCACATGATCATCTCACAAAAATAATGGTTGATTATAACTGAAATACACTACATTAATTTTTTGTAAAATTATTTCCTGGTATAACTATACCTCTCTGTTCAGACATTTACCATAATTCAATGTTAAAACATTTAAACCTAGATCTTTCTTATCGTTTGTTAAATCATAGCGTAAATTGTGTGGAAAATCCAAACTTTATGTTAAATCTACTTATAATCCCTGGCCTTAAGAGATATACAGTGTATATGTGAAGTGAAAGTCATAAAAAGTTACCATATATTGAAAGAGAAAGTCTAATGTCCTAATTAATCAATATATGGCTTGTGGTTAATGCTGCTTATCTATATTGAAATATGGTAATTCCAATAAGTTTGCAATTTTAAGCGACCTTTCTCATTGATATTTAATGTTGGGTTTTCCTAATACAGCGTTTACTAATGATTGTTATATAATAAGCTAAAAATAAAACGAATATCACGGAAACAGTCGGGCATTATTAATTAATAAAATCTTAAATCTACAATGATTATTTCAAAATACCTTATTAATTTATCTACAGTTTACTTTATGAATACTGTAAATATAAATTATACTATCATACAAAATAGTAAAAAAATTTATAAAGCATATAAAATGGTTATTGATTAGACTGATGTTATAACATATTAATTATTAATTTTAAGCTTTAAATTTATCCTAGCATAAATTCTATGCATTTTATAAAAACTAAAAAGTAAGTATTTAAATATAAACATACCAGCAAATGAGCCCAATTTTAAGCTTGGTAGGTGCGTTAACAGTAACCATAGCCTCGTCGATGAGCTTGTTCATACATTGAGTGGCCTGTGGTTTAATAGCGTTCAGACACTTGGCCATCGACACAATGTCCTTTTTACCCCGATTAAAGTTACAGTAGTACTTGTTTTTACGGATCACGCCGTACATCAACAACGTGGTCACCTGATAGGGGAACGCCTTTAGGCACCGCTTGGCGTATTGCTTCACGTAATGCTCTTTTTGATTCTTCTCGCTAAACAAATTAATTTATAAAATGTTATTTATAATTGTAATAAATGTTTTTTATGTTAAATTTATGTTGTCATATAACAATAGTAGGTTTTCATGCAAAATAAACCTGTTCACATTTGAGCTAAAAAATAATTATCTAAATAATTATTTATTTTTAAAAACTGTAAAACTTATTGACTTAGTTAGTTAATATGGTTATTTTGTAACAATAGAATTTAAATTGGATGTTTGAAAGACACTCATTTTATGATATATTATTTAATTAATTAATCATTATACATTTTTGGTACACTTACAGACAAAATTGAGATCGCTCGGTTTCCGTTTCGGGTATATTGCGTAGGGGGTCATTGAGAAAGAATAGCCACCTGGTCGTTTCGTCCATTGTTTTCGGGTCGCATTCAATACCATTAGACTGTTTGGTGGCACCGGTAGAGCTCACTATGTAAAGTGCATGGATCAATTTATTAATTAAAATATCAAATTCAATCATGATAAAAATAATTATATAACAAACTTACCAATCATCAGTGTGACAATCACTAAACACAAAATGTTTATATTCATTGACATTTTCATATTTATTTAATATTTATATTTTAAAAACTTTTTGTTTGCTCTTCTGTCCAAATTATTAACTTGTTTTTAAAAATGTTTATATCAAATTTGACAATTAAATCTTGTGACAGTTTGTAAACTTCAACTACTTTGAGCACAATTTAAATTGAATGTACTTCTCATACAATTTGCTGGGTTTGGCTGAAGTGGTGGACGAGTTGTCAGTATTAGTATCACTGGATTTGCAATTAATTAAACAATTCTTGCGATTCTTATTATTATTCTTCTTAGACTTATCGTTATTTTGTTTCTCTTGCTGTGAATGCGAGCGAAATTGCGATAACTTTCTGGCGTTCATCACAAATACCCGGCTATTTATATACACCACACGACAGACAAACAAACAAAATAATTTCACACTTGGTTAGAAATATTTTTTAATTATATGTATATTAGTTACACAGACTATGGAATCAATCAATTATTGATTGTATTTTCTATACATGTATGATATGTCGCACTGGTATACGAAATGATAATTTATTAACCGTTTATAAATAAGTGTTTATTTATGGCCAGACCTTCAAAGCACAGGTATGTATACTCTGTATGTTTGCTGTAAAAAACTTTTTTCAAATACATTCAAAAACTTCAATTTATATACACAGAGAGGTATCGGAGGGATTGGGAGAGGGAGGTATAGGTTAGTACTTGCAAATAAGCTCTCTCTCTCTCTCTCTCTCTCTCTCATGACTTTTAAATTATATAGATTGTATAATTAATAAAATAAGCTCTCTCTCTCTCTCTCTCTCTCTCTCTCTCTCTCTCTCTTCTGGGTATGTATTTTGAAATGATATACAAAAAAGCATAATTAATGCCACGTTTTTTTCTTGGTTTTACCAAAATGCTTTCAGGATCAGCATACGATTAAATAGTACTATAAGTACACTATACACACGCTGTGTATAAAACTGGTTGGCCTGCATTACATACAATGTGCAATAGTCTAACTTAACTATACATTTGGTACACTATAACGTTGGCGGCATTTTTGACAGTTATTTCATTATCAATGATTTCACAAACTTATTTTTGAGCTAGATTAATTGTTTTGTATATTTCAACGTAAAATGTATATTTATAGATGATACATTTTTAATAGATATTACCTTGTTATATGTAATTTTATGAGTGTAAATATGTAATAGTAATTTTAGGGGGCGGACAGCACAGGTAGGGGCCGATCGGTGTCTACACTATTGACGTATTTGTATACAAATATAGACTGTTTTTAGATGAGAGTCGACTTATTAATTACATAAATATGTAATTCATAGACATATGTAATGCTAAAAATAAATTCCCGCGCAAAATAAGCTGTATATAATAATTGATTTAAACTTAGTGTCCTTGATTAGTGCTGCAAAATGTACATTTTTGGTTTAAGCCCGATTTAAATATCTATACCTGGTCAGTTAATTCTGTTATTGTTAATAAATTATCAATTTTGTATACTTTGTATATTTTATTATACAATAAAACAATTGTCTGTACATTTTTCAACCTTGTGTAAATAATAATATTTTTTTGAGATGTAAAGTTTGTTTAAATGTTTATTCAATTTCTATAAATATTTTATTATTACTTTTATTTTTGAAATATAAATAAAAATACAATAGTATTATTGTTTATATTATGAATTATCAATTTTACTATTTAACCAGCATGATAAATAATGGTTATGGAAAAAACAAATGATAGTTTTATAAATACTATTAATAGAAAATTAATTTTTCCATATAATATATAATGAGATTTAAATTAGTTTCCGATTCTAATATGTCAATTTGTTATTTATCATATTGAAATTTTATTGCTTAATTCATTAATCTAAAAATATATCCTGTTTATTTTATACATCATGCAAATTATATTATAGTGTACTGATTGCAACTTTATTTAGAAATGAATATTGCAAAATTAGTTACATAATAGTTATTTTGGGAAATTTATATATTAGTAACTTTACAATATTACAAATTAGTACAGAAATTAAAATGGTGAAACAATAATTTTACAATTTTATTGTAGGATTTCCCATGTTGGTAAATATTTCAAACAAAGGTTGTTATAAGTAATACCTTTTCACCCACCAAGGGCAATTATGTTTGTAAACTTTTATTAAATATAAACAAAAACTATACATTGCATTTAAATAGCTAGATTGTATTAATATTTGCGAAATTATTACAATGTTTATTCTAAAACACCTTCTCACATTATAAATCATAAATGTAAAATTAAAAACAAACATTCAATGAATATAATAACGACTTTACATGACTGAATAGATATATTAGTGAACAGGGATTTCCCAGACATAAACACCTCGGGTATATACCAATGTTACAAAGTGTTCATGTTGTTTCCTAAGCAAATAAAAAACAAACCAGATAAATAAAAATACAACTAATTAATTGTGTCAATAGCTTATTGTTGTTTTGTTGTCGTACAAGTGCACCTAATTATATTAGTTGTAACTATAACATTTTTAATTATATTTATAATTTTACAATATTATTTGTAAAATTAATATTAGCATAAAGTTATAATAAATTAAACATGTATTAATGTAACGATACTTTTGTACAAGCTCGTTTTACTGAATATTAGCAGTTCATTATAACGATTAGTACACTGTATAAGGAAAATAAAGTAATAGAGGTTAATGTAATCGAGGGTGTATATCCACTATGATCATAGTGATTTCTCAATAGCGTATTTTACAAAGTTTGATGTTTAAATAATCATTTTGTTTTTTTCCATGTCTGTAATTTGTTGTTTTTCCAATGTATTGTGAAAGTAGTTTAACGTCTTGTTGTGTATAGTGTATTAAAATTAACATTTAATTATATATCTGGTATAGATTATTTCGGCAATTGGATTTTACTAATTGATCAAGTGTGTTTTTACCACAAATTAACACGAGCTTGTGCAATATTATATTGATGTATTAATACAGAATAGCATTTTATTTATGGAAATTCTGGTATGATCAACATTTTTAATTATAAATTTATTATTTAAATTTATATTAGTATTAAGTTAGTATAATTATTTAAGTATTAAAATATTATAAAATGTTTTACTTATAAAATAATAAATGTTTAGTGTATGTTCAGTGTGTTTAGTGTAGTCTATAACATAATGACCATACAATCTGGTTATAGACTTAGATGAGAGCATCTTTTGATGTTAAGTAAGTTGTGGTGAGAAATAGAAGTAAAACACTGGGACTCTCTCTCTCTCTCTCTCTCTCTCTCTTCAGACATTTACCATAATTTAATGTTAAAACATTTAAACCT